GTAAGAAGAGTATTCATTACACTATAGAATGTCCCTGTGTAAGTCTGAAAACTTTGATTACAAAACTAAGATAAGCAAGCTTCATGGATGACCTTAGGATTACCCACTGACACTGAATTTTGCCTGACTGTTTTATAGGATGAGTTGAAAAGTAGCCTAGTCAATTTATTCTTAGTCAGACCTGTCTCCAAAAAAAAAAGTAAAAAGTAAAAAGGATATGGCTCAGTAGTAACATGTTTGCCTAGCACATATAAGAACTAGGGTTCAATTTCTAGTACTGTTAAGGAAAAAATGAGTGGCTACATACAGTATTTTCATCAAGAAAAGTTATGACAACTTTATTAAGTGGACAACATCTAAAAAGAGAGGAAGTGGAAGAGTTACCACTGTCATTCAGCTTTGATCTTAGTGTCACACTACATGTGGTTTAAAATCCACTTCTCAAACTCAAAGAATGCAATATGACATACATAAAAATTGGCGTACAATTAGACCAGGCCATTCTGTATCTAGGATACAAGTCTGAGAAAAGTTAAAACAGGAAACAGGTATTTTAACACTTTGCACAGTCCTGTCCATAGAGAAACACGAAACAAAAGCTTAAGTGTCTACTGTTAGTGGTTGGTTGAAAACATGAAGGTAATAAAGCATTGTTGAAGACCACAGAAGATCTCTAAGCTTCCACCTGTGAAGATGTCAGCGATCTGTTACCAAGCAAAGTACAAGGGGAGGAGCAATACACCGCACCAATAACTAGATATTATCTTAATAAAGTATATATTAAATGATGCATTGTTATACACATCTATTACTAACAATTTCAAAACATATTGAAAACTGCAACCTTGTCTCCTGAAGCACTTTTGCAAGTGGGGAATGGATGGATGGAATAAAAGAATGATGAGAAGGGATTGATATGAAACCAGGATTTTGAAACAACATGAAAATTAGGAATAACTAATTCAACTGTATGTACATACACACCAGTGAGGAAAAACTTATAAAGTTTCGTAAGTAAATTTGCAAGAGATAATTCATTGGACCAGACTATAAATGTTACAAACATAAATGACAAACAGTTTAATAAGAAATCTTCCCCACGACCAATATATGTAGACAAGCTACCCTTTCTGAGCGAAGGGACAGATAATATTCCTGGGACAGTGGCTTTGTGACTTTGGACACTCTCTTTGAAAGTCACAGTATAAGGGAGGAAAGACAGAAGTTTAGGAATATGCAAAAGGCCCAGGCACATTACGTACTTCACTGGACATTAAGCAGAACATCACACTACTCACCAACTCACGTTGAAGGGAAAGATATTTGGCAACTATTTTACTCACATCAAAATGGTCCACAAAAGCCTCAAAAAGAAAAAACCCCTCTGATGTGGGTAAGATATTAACTACCTTTTGGTAAATAGACTTCTACACAGTGAAAAAAATGATGTCATGAGAAACTTTGGCTGATCCCACTGATAGAGAAAACATACTGATCTCTTGTTTTTTCCACTGAGCGTCCACAAAATCCTTGAACTCTCAGTCACAACCCACCAGAAAGTAAGAAGCTGAGTAAGTGTTTCCTGTATAATCCAGGAGTCTTCTGCACTGATATCTCACTTCTTGCACCATCGCCACTAACCTAAGACCACAATGGTCCATTTGAACAAGACAGATTTTATGGTAAACCAGTGGCTCCCATCCACGGGCAACATCAACAGCCTATCTGTCTGGGCTAAGCCAAAGGGCAGCAGCAGACACACACAAAGAGGATGGGAAGCTGGGAAATCTGCAGAACCATAGAACAAGCCTATCCCAGGGCAATCCAGCAGCCAGACTCGACCTCTCTAAGACAGTGACAGGGAAGATCCAGATACCAAACTCACCTCGATGGAGGCATGGATTTACATATTCCTAGGTGAAGTCCCAGTCCCTGCCAATGATTTATCCAGAAGGATAATTCATGAAATGGTTTTGCTGACTGGCTAGTTCTGTGTTTTCCAGAAGAGAAAAACTTGTGACCTTTGCCTTGGGAAGATCATGCCTTCTATTGTTGTGCCAGCTTTTAAACACTGTTATATAATGATCTGCTTGGATATTGAGAATTCAGAAAAATTAAGAAACTGTCCATAAACAGTCTCTGCATCTGTCACGCGCTTGCCTGTTTGAGCATCCTAGCATGGTCTAAGAAGGGTGGATGGTGAGAAGTGAAAGGTAGTTGTCAGGGACAAGGACTGGATGCTAAAGAGCATCACAGAAAAGCAGGGCCCTCACTAAAGAACACCTTGTGTAGGGAAGGCCGGTGCGGAGCCAAACCAACTCTGTGTTGCCCTTGTGTGTATGGTAACTCCATGGAGTCACCATTGCTGCAAGATTTAAATATGCCTGTGTGATGAATTCTCCAGAGAGACTTGTAGGCATTGTGTTGTAACCATCACATACTTATCCACTGCATATAAGAGTGCAATCTCATACAGGTCCTATGGGAATCAGAATTGTGGCTCCTCAGAAATATGGAAATAGATCTGCCTCAATATCCAGTGGTATATACCACTCTTGAGCATATACCCAAAGGGCACCTCATCCTACCACAGGGACACTTCCCTCAATCAACCAGGTTCATTGTTGTCCTATTTACCAGAGTTTACGGGGGAAAAAACTAGATGTCCCTAAACAGAAGACCAGTTAAGGAAAATGTGATACAATTACATAAATGACCATTATTCAGTTTATTAAAAAAAATGATATCATGACATATGTAGGCAACTGTATGGAACTAGGAAAAATCATGCTATATGAGGTAATTTAGATCAGAAGATAAATATGATATGCATTTATTTATAATTGGATATTAGCCATTATAAAAATTATAACCAAGATGCAATCTATTGACCTGGAGAGGTTAGGCAGAGAGGAACAGACTAGGCAGGACAAGTGGATCTTCCAGGGAGAGGGAAATAATATACAATAATGAGCAGGATGGAGTAGGGATGGAGATAAGAGCAGGAGTTTCAGGAGGGAAGGAGAGGGCAGAGGAGTTTGAGGGTGGCTAGGAGAAGAGAGACAGCTAGAATTGAAAAACATTTGAGTGGCAATATAGAAACTCAGTGCAGGGCACTGGAAACTTCCTATAATAAATATATGAAGACAATCTAGAAGATGACTCTAAATAGTGAGGGACAGAAGACTGCTACTAGCCATATTTGTCACCAAACTAAACTAAACGTCCTCCTTGGGAATGCTTTTCATCCAATTCAGTTGTTGGTCATTCCAAGGGACCCTGTGGAAATTCCCAAACAACCCAGGCTGAAGCCAAGACAATGGGGTACTCTCCACAATCTGACAAGACCCCATTGCTGAAGGAAACATCCACACAACTCATTAACCCAATGAACATGAACAGTTGAGCTGGTGCCTACATCAAACCTTCACCCTTAATTTCTAATGTCTATGATATGGAATTGTGTAGGGGTAGCTTACAACACCAGGGATCCAGCGATAGCCCAGCCCATTGGGGGGGTGTGTTCACCTCGGGCTAATGTTACATATAAATCTGGCTCATCGCTGGATCCCTGGTGTTGTAAGCTATCCCTACAGAATTGTACTCCGCAGTCTACCAAAAGAGAAAAAGAAACATCAACCCAACCACAAAACCTTTCACCTAGAATCTGTCTTACCTACAAAATAAGATAGGGCAATGGATGCGCAAACCTTGTGGGAGTAACCAACCTCTGCCTGATTTGAATTAAGGCCCACTCCATGAGTTGGAACCCATACCTCATTCTGCTTAGGTGACCAAGAATCAGAGGGTGTAAGTCCAGACAGCAGGGTGAAACCAAATATTCCTGTTCTTAAGGGGGAAAAGTAACCATGAAATGACTCATAATGACATTCTGCTGTACTCATGGGTCAGTAGCTTAGTCAGCCATCATCAGAGAAGATCCCTCATGTAACAGCTGGGAGCAAAAACAGAGCCCCACAGCAAGAAATTACATAGAGAGACCTTGGAACACACAGCTCTCAGTGAGATGTCTCCATCCAATCCCTCCAGTCAGAGCTCAGGGGTACCTCATGGAAGAGAGGCAGAAGGAGTCGGGGAGAAAGAAGGAATGGAGGACCAACAAAGACCACAACCAGCTAAATCACTCAGCAAAGCTCATATGAACTGACGAGGCTGAAGCAGTCTGCACAGGACCTGCATGGACCTGCCCCAGGCCCTCTGAACAGACACCATAGCTTTCTGTTCAGTACTTTCATAGGACTCCTGAATGTGGAAACAAGCGCTTTTCTGATTCTTGTGACTATTCTTCGTGATCTTAATTTTCTGTTTGCTTCTCTTGTCCAATTTTGATGTAGTGAGTTTTGTTTTATTTTATTATATTTGATTTGTTTGAGAAAGAATTTAACTATATTGCATCATACATATCATATCCCTAATTTTTGAAATACAGAAAAACTTCATGTGGAATACTATATAGTGCAGCTGACAAACTTGAGAGCTGCTTTATAGAATACTGTATTTTTTAAACATCTCTGAAAGCCTCAACATATAGCTTCAAGATTTATTGTTGTCTTCTTAAATTTCTTTTCTGCGTCATCATACAAAGTGGTCAGTGTCATTAGGGCAATTTTCAGGCAAGCTGTATTTTACTCCCCTCTATATGTCCTCTTCTTATCACTGATCATTCTGCTTTCTGTTTTCATGTGACATGTCTATCATTTCTGCCATTGTTGCTCCTCAAATAAGTTTCTTGGTCCCCTCTCTGTCCAATTTTATGACCCCAAACACAAATAGAAGGCATACATAAAGATTTAAAATAAGACTGTTCCTTGAAATATATATGCAAATTTGTCATAGGTATACACATTTAATCAAGAGGGAACCTATAAAGTAAAGTTTTTCCTAATTAGTGAATGGCACAAAACAATTCTCTACCCAGGAAGAAATTCGTTATGCAGTGAAGCAAACATCAAATCACAGCTGAGTAAATAATTTCCTTTTCATTGCCTGAAACCAGGCTCCTCTTCATGTGCTAAAGACAGACAATGTACCTTGGAAAGCGGCTTTCCTTGTTGGCAGTTGAGCCCACCAACGAACACCATGTTTGGCATCACAGGTTTGGGGAAATCTAACACAAAGTCGGTGCGTAACAACCAAATAGACGCCTGGGAGAAGAGGTCTTCCAAAGTCACGGGGGTCTGGAGAACTTCAGAGGCAATATCTGTAGCACTTTTAAACAAGTGATGGCAAAATGCACGCTCTTCCATGTAAAAAACAAAGTTCGACACTCTCTCCTTGAAAGTCATGGTGTCTGAAAGTTTTGAGAAAAGTCTAGGAACATAAGACAGCGGACTGGGACACTGGGTGCCCTCTTCAAGATAGTGGCAATAGAAATATCTTGTAAACATCACTGAAGGGACCGATAAATACTTGGCAACAGTTAAGCTACAGAGCTCGAAAGGATCCAGAAACACAGCATCAAAAGAACTCTGCTTCAAGTACTCCACTAACTTCTTGTCATTAAACAAACTTCTACAGTGGGAAATTATTAATTCATAATAAACTTTGGCTGAGCCTGTCATTAAAGAAAGCATACTTTGTTCTGGAGTCTTCCATTGAGCGTGAGTGTATTTCTTGTGCTTATGGTTCAGATCCTCCAAAGTGTAAGAAGTTGAGTATGTCTTCATTGTAAAATTCAGGGATTCTCTCAGTTGCCCACTCACCTCTGGCATGACTGCCACCACCTCATGTCCTCTGTGGATGAGCTTCTCCATAACCGTTTGCATGGTGAACCAGTGGCTCCCATCCATGGACAACACCAGCAGCCTGCCTGCCTGGGCAAAGCCAGAGGCCAGCAGCAGACACACACACACAGGAAGGGAGGCTGGGAAATCTGCAGGAGCCATGGGAGAAGCTCAGTCTGAGACAATCCAGTTGCTGAGACTCTCTGCTCTTCTAATAGAGCTGGTTGAGGAGAAGCACACGGTCTCCTTCACTGGACACAAAGAATTCTATGTGTATAAGGGAAGTTAAATTTAGTGCTAATGATTTACTCAAAAGAGCAATCATTAATGAACTATATTGGGTAAAGTAACTACTTTGTGTTTTCAGGTTACAAAAATATTTATGATTTGTGTCTTGAGAAGATCATGCCTTCTATTGCAACCTAGTTTTGAAAGAATTATGAAAAAATGTTCTTGGATTTTTAATTCAGAATAATTAAGAAGCTGTCTATCAGGATCCTCTAAATCCATCATATGGTCATTTGTTTCTCTTAAGACGGAAACTAAGAGGGATTTACAATGAGAGTCGCCAAGAAGAGGTAGATAGGGAATCCCAGAGGTCAGTGAAAACCTGGTCTCTCCCGAAAGGGCACATGATGGTACAGAGGACAGGTCAGGGTCAAATCAACCCTGTATTGCTGCATGGTTCCATGGATCTGAGAGTGCAGGAGTCTTGACTGACAGGACTGAGCCTTGGGACTCCATCCTGCTGTAGGGTTACACTAAAACAATAACACAGCCATTGTCCCTGTCGAAACGGAAACATTGGTTGTGTGAGATCAGTTTCTGTTCTTTCTAGTGCTCTTCCTAAGACAGGATGACTTTCTTCCTGAGCCTGGTTTTCAGACAGACATCTGGATGGAAGACAGCAGAGGAAGAACTGAATCTCTGAAAGCTGTTGCCTCCATGAAGATGCTCAGACTAAGTTATCCCAGGTACAATGGCCAGGGCTCTGCTTTCCTAGGAACAAAGGGATCAGAATTTAGGATTTCCACCTTCCCCACAAATCCAGGAGGGGCTGATGTTGGGCTTGGTCTTAGGGCTGAATTATGGGTCAGGGATGATGACAGCGCATTCAATGCGTTTATTTGACCCTCTAATCACGTATTGTTTCTGAAAACAGTCATCTCACAAACCATTTGAGTTGGGTCTAAAACAGTGATGCGCAGGGTCTGCTCACCACTTACAGTGTAGGCACAGTGTTCTTTCCCACCCTACAGTCACGGGACCAGGTGACCTTTCTGCACTGACTCTCCTAGAAAGGTCATGAAGATTTAACCGGATATTGTAAGAGTTTCATGGTCATAACTTTTCTATACTGTCGTACATCATTTTTAAGATAATTTTTTGTGGTATAAAGGTATAATTTCATGTCTTCCCCTGGCCCGACATTACTGCATGGTTTCTAGATCTGAACATAGTCCAAATTACAACCATAAGATCATTTACTGCAAATGTGCCTCTCCCTCGCTGCATCCACCATTCACACAGCACAGCACAGCACATAGGGGTGACTGTCCCAGGCCTATGGTGTCAATAAGAAAATGAGAACACAGGGGCACTCATGAAGGTTCCCTAATCTTCCGAGACCCTTTCCAGACAGCTACTTTAGGAATAGAGTAGAAATTACTTGTCTATTCCATCTGGGGTAGGACAGAAACAAAATGCAGAGACCATAGAGACCAGCCTGTGTGTCTCATTGGTAACTCAGTGTGCCTGCTACATATGCCAACTCCAAAGGTCATCCCTAACAATGAGCCACTTGCCTTCTCTATCAGGAGATTAGGGTCAAAGCTACCTCGAGTCCTTAGACTGTTGCTTCCAGTCCTACTTCTGAGTGTACACCACTAAGCTCTGTCAAAGAGGAAAAATGCCACCTCAGCCCATTCTAGAAAAATGTTGGGGTGAGTAATGCTTGGCCTGAGAAGTCCAAATGTCTTCATTTCTCCATGCAAGGTGACCCAGCAACCTGGTCTGGACCGATAGAGGTCCACCTCTCTGGACCTCAGATGAGCAAAGTTTTCTCCTTTGTTAAGAAAAATAGAAGTTGAACTCTGGAAAAATATTAAAATGGTTGGATATGGGCTAGAATGATGACTTGTAGTTGGAAGCACTAGTTGCTCATTCAGAGGTGCAGGGTTCAGTTCTGAGCATCCATGTGGTAGCTCACACCTGTCTGTAACTCCCATTCCAGGGCTTCTCACACCCACATATAGATATACATGCAGGCAAAGCACCAATGAGGATAAACTAAAAATAATTAATTAAAATATACTACCCCATGGCTGTCATATTAATATACTACCACCTCTATTGTTCCTGTAGAAGAAACCAAGCAACAGCTATGATAATCTAGAAAAGAGCTGGCCAATAACTCACTCTAGGTATAGGACCTCCCTCCTCTCAGGTTCCAGAACTGGGGCAGTTAGTACTGCTTGGCTGGGGAAGTCAAAGAGTGGTTCCTCTCAACTTGAAAGGTTATACTACAGCTCCACCCTGACAGTTAAATTCTAGCGTCTGCATACTTTAGAGAAGGAGCCAGGCTTGATATATTTGGGCAGGGGGAATCAGATAAAAACTCAGTTTAAGCAGAATCGCACCTATAATTTGTCTTGCCAACAATTTTGCTAGGACAATGGAGACACAAACCTTGTTGAAGTAACCAACCGATGTCTGATTTGAATTAAGGCCCACTCCGTGAGATGGATACTGCCTGGTCAGTCTTCCCCATTAACGTAGATCATGAACACAGACAAGTTCAACAGAACCTCCATATGTGGGCTGCCCACGCATGCTTCAGCATTACCAGAGCATAAAATTCATTTTTCATTCATTTTTATGAGATGGAATCCATTCCTCACACTGCTTGGGTGTCCAGAAGTCCAGACAGTTAGGGTAAAACCAAGTATTCCTGTGCTTAGTTGGGAGGAAGTAACAATGAAATGACTCATAATGACATTCTCTGTAGTCATGGGTCAGTAGCTTAGTCAGCCATCAACAGAGAAGATCCCTCATGTAACAAATGTTAGCGAAAACAGAGACACACAGCATGACACTACATAGAAAACCTTGGAACACACAGCTCTCAGTGAGATGTCTCCATCCAATCCCTCCAGTCAGAGCTCAAGGTACCTCATGGAAGAAAGGCAGAAGGAGTTGGGGAAAAAGAAGGAATGGAGGACCAACAAAGACAGGGCCTTCTATATCACTCAGCAAAGCTCATATGAACTGAAGAGGCTGAAGCAGTCTGTACAGGGCCTGCATGGACTGCCCCAGGCCCTCTGAACAGACACCATAGCTTCCTATCTAGTCATTTGTTTACCTATTTATTTTTGTTTATTTATTTTTGTTTCTCCAGACAGGGTTTCTCTGTGTAACAGTCCTAGATGTGCTTGAACTAGTTCTGGAAGGCCTGACTGGCCTTGAACCCACAGAGATCCACCTACCTCTACCTCCTGAATGCTGGGTTTAAAGCCATGTGCCACCACCACCTGGCTCGCATGTAGTACCTCTGTGGGACTTCTAAAATTGCTAACAAGTGAGTCTCTGATTCTTATCCCTTCCCTTGGCACTCTTACTTTTCTGTGTGCTTGTATTGTCCCATTTTATATGGTAGTTTTCTTTTCTCTCATTTACATATTTACATTTTATTTTCTTTGAGAAATGCATCCACTCTGTATCATATCAATGATTTTTTTTTTTTTGATTTTTCGAGACAGGGTTTCTCTGTAGTTTTTGGTTCCTGTCCTGGAACTAGCTCTTGTAGACCAGGCTGGCCTCGAACTTCAATGATTCTTGAAATGCGGAAAAGCTGTGTGCCCTCCTATAGAGTGCAGCCAACAGAAAATCATGACAGCTTCAATGCTTGATGTATTTTTTAAAACATCTCAAAAATGAGTAAAATGTACATTGAAGGTTTTTTTGTCTCTTTAAACAACATTTTAAAGTTGTCATACAGAGTATTCAGTGGTATTCTGGCATTTTTCAGACATTTTCTTTTCTATTTATTTCGTCTCCCGCTACCCTACCTTGCCCTCCGGATGCCCTCTTCCTACTCCTGCACATCCCCCTTTCTGTCTTCATGAGGCATGTCTATCATTACTTACTGGTTTTGCTGCTCCTAAGGAAAATGTTCTTTGTCTCTTTTCTTCTAATTTCATGATCTTGCCATACACACAGAGAAAGGCACACATACATAGTTATACTTAGATTGTAGCTTTGAATGTATATGTGATATCCTCACAGGTATACACACCTATATAAATAGGGCACCAATATAGATTTGTTTCCTAATTAGTGAGTTGGCATAAAGTATCTCAAACCCATGAAGAAATTCCATATGCAGTGAGGTAAACAATAAATCACAGCTCAGTAAAGAATTTATCTTTACTTGGCCAAACCAAAGGCTCTCTTCATGTGCTGAAGGAGAGACAACATACCTTAGAGAGTGGCTTTCCCTGGTGGCAGTTGATCCCACCAATGAAGAAAATGTTCGGCATGATAGGTGCAGGAAAATCCAACACAAAGTCAGTGCGTAACAGCCAAATGGACACTTGACTGAAGAGGTCTTCCATAGTCACTGGGGTCTGGAGGACTTCAGAGGCAATATCTGTAGCAGTTTTGAAAAAACTGGGGCAAAATGCACGCTCCTCCATATAGGTGATGTGGTTCCACACTCTCTCCATAAAAGTCATAGTGTGTGTGTATTTCGAGAGAAGTCTGGGAACATAAGAGAGGGGTCTGGGGCACTGAGTACTCTCTTCAAGATAGTGGCAAAATACATCTCTTGCAAAGACCACAGATGGGAGTGACAAGTACTTGGCAATAGTCAAGCCACACACATCGAAAGGATCCAGAAACACAGCATCGAAAGTACTTTGCTTCAAGTACTCCACTAACTTCTTGTCCTTAAACAAACTCCTACAGTTTGAAAATATTAATTCAAAAAAACCTTTGGCTGAGCCTGTCATTAAAGAAAGCATACTTTGTTCTGGAGTTTTCCATTGCATATCAGAAAAATACTTGAACTCCCTGTTTAAATCCTCTACGGTATGAGAAATTGAGTACGTCTTCACAGTAATATTCAGGTATTTTCCCAGTTGCCAACTCGCCTCTGGCACAGCTGCCACCACCTCATGCCCTTTGTGGATGAGTTTCTCCACAACCAACTGCATGGTGAACCAGTGGCTCCCGTCCATGGGCACCACCAGCAACCTGCCTGCCTGGGCAAAGCCAGAGGCCAGCAGCAGACACACACACACACAGGAAAGGAGACTGGAAAACCTGCAGGAGCCATGGGAGAAGCTCAGCCTGCGGCAATCCAGCTGCTGAGACTCTCTGCTCTTCTAATAGAGCTGGTTGGTAAAGAAGAGGTTCAAAATCTATTGTTGTGGACATGTGTATTTGTATGTTTGCAAGTCAAGCTAATGATTTACTCAAAAGATTAATAATTAATGAACTGCATTGGCTCCAAAACCTATTTGTCATTTGTGATGTAAAAAAAGGTTTATGATCTTTGTTTTGGAAAGATCATCACCTGCATTGCAGAACCAGTTTTGAAAGAGTCATGAAGCCATATGTTTGGATTTTGCAATTCAGAAAAATTAAGAAGCTACCTATAAAGATCCTCTGCGCACATCATAGACATGCTCATTGATACTTCACAAGAAGGGAGGCTTAGAGAGATAGACAGTGGGTGTCACCAAGAAGAGGTAGAGAATGTTAGCGGTCCCAAAAAAAAAACAAGTCTCTCCCTAAAGGGTACTGTATGCAAGAAAGGACAGACCAGGGTCTAATCAATATTGCTTCGAATCCATGGATCTGAGAGTGCAGGAGTCTTGACTGACAGGCAGTGAACCTTGGGACTCTGCCCTGCTGTAGGACTCCAGTAAACCAACAACACAACTATTGTCCCTGTCAAACGGAAACATTAGCTGTGTTAGATCAGTTTCTGTTCTTTCTAGTGCTCTTCCTAAGACAGGATGACTTTCTTCCTCAGCCTGGCTTTCAGACAGACATCTGGACGGAGGACAGCAGAGGAAGAGCTGAACCTCTGAAAGCTGTTGCCTCCATGATGACGCTCAGACTAAGTTACCTCAAGTACAATGGCCAGGGCTCTGCTTTCCTTGGAACAAAGCAATCAGAATTTAGGACTTCCACCATTCTCACAGCTTTAGGAGGGGCTGATGTTGGGCTGGTCTTGGGCCTGATAATGAGTCAGGACATATTGACATCTCATGAGTTTATTAGAGCCTCTAAACACGTATTGTTTCTGCAAACAGTCGTCACGCAAACCATTAGAGTTGGGTTTAAAACAGTGATGCTCAGGGTCTGCTCACCACATACAGTGTAGGGACAGTGTTCCTTCCCACCCTGCAGGCACCAGACAGGGAGACTTTTGTACATTGACTCTCCAAGCAAGGTCATGAAGATTTAACAAAATGTTGTAAGAGCTTCATGGTCATAACTTTTCTGTGTGGTCATACATCGTTTTTAAGATATTTTTTGTTTATGGCGTAATGGTATAATTTCTTGTCCTCCCCTGGGTAAACACAGGCCTGAAATTTCTGCACGGTTTGTAGATCTGAACATAGTCCAAATTACAACCATAAGATCATTTACTGCAAATGTGCCTCTCCCTCGCTGCATCCACCATTCACACAGCACAGCACAGCACATAGGGGTGACTGTCCCAGGCCTATGGTGTCAATAAGAAAATGAGAACACAGGGGCACTCATGAAGGTTCCCTAATCTTCCGAGACCCTTTCCAGACAGCTACTTTAGGAATAGAGTAGAAATTACTTGTCTATTCCATCTGGGGTAGGACAGAAACAAAATGCAGAGACCATAGAGAC